AAAAATCACTCTAAAAAATTTTGCCCGCATATGATTTTAGTCTAGACACATCTTGATTGAAGTTTGTCATTCTCTTGTATCTTCCCACTTTGATCTGTTCCCCAAAGTGAATTCTTTAGAGAACTACTCTCATCCATTATAGATTTATCTTTACTGGTATAAATTTCTGAGGGCAGACATCTGCAAATTTTATGTTTCTGGGTATAAGGACACAGTCATGTTAATGAACAAATATTCCATATATTCTTACCATGGCTAAACCCCTTTTTTCCTTAGTGTGGGGGATTGAACTCATGGCCTAGAACATGCTAGGCAAGTACTGTACCACTGAGCTACACCCCCAGCCCCAATTGTCAGTTTTTAAATATATCCTTCCAGAAAGAACCTGTGTATTACTTATAAATGGTACTTACGTAGTTTCAACTCCCTTTTTATGAAAGAGTCGCATATTGCATGACTGTTGTGTTACTTTTTCACTTATCATTATAAATCTGTGCATGCCAAGATCCCTCATTTTATCTGATGAAATTATAAATTGTATTTTACAAATGTTTACTATGCTGTGATCAATCTTTTGTTTGTATAGATAGTGCAATTAATACCATTTTTAATATATTACTTTTCTCATTGTAGCTATAGGACAAACTCTATCTTAGTACATTTGGGCTGTTACAACAAAATACCATGGAGTGGGTAGCTCATAAATAACAGAAACTAATTAATGTTCTGGAGGCTGGGAAGTCCAAGAACAAGCTGCTAGCCATTTCAGGGTCAGGTGAGGGTCACTTTCTGGTTCATAGACACTGCCATCTAATTTTAAAAAACAAAACAAAACATAAAATAACCACAATAAAACAAAACTGTAAAACTTTCAGGAAGACGATTTGTTCACTCATTCAAAAATATTTATTGAGCTTGGTATATTTATTATATTGAGCACCAGCATGGTATTGTGGGTATAACAGTGAAGTAAAAGGGAAAGTAGAGGGACAGAGTATATAGGGCTGGAAGGCTGTCGCAAGGACATCTGAAGGGCCTGCAAACCACTGGAGAATTTGTGCTAAAGAGTAACAGGATGTGACTGACTGTTTATAAGAATGCTCTCGCTACTGCGCCAGAAGATAGATTGGAAAGATACAAGGAGGAAAGGGGAGTCCCATTGGAGACTATCTCAATAGCCTGTGCAAGGCATGATGACTTGACCTTGGGGGGTAGTGGTGGAGGCTAAAGGAGGTTGGATGTGTTCTGACATACTTTGAAGTTGGGAAAGATATAATTTTGGTGGCACTGGAGAAAAAAGAAGTACAGTGTGAAGACTGTTAGGGCCTGAGCACCTGGGTTAACAATAGTGCCTTTTAATAAGATGTTTAGCTCTGGGAGGGACAGACTGTGTACTAAGAGGCTACTTTCCACTCTTAGTGAGTAACATGGTGTTAGACATGTTAAGTGAGAGATGCTTATTGGCTGTCAAGTGACCTGCTGGATAGTGCCTGAGTCTGGAGTCAGGCAAGAGGGTGAAGCCTGAGATGTCATTTGTGAGTGGTTAGTCTATAGGTGGCACGTAAGTCATGGGGCTGGGTGGCGTCCCCCAGTGAGTTTGCCTTCACAGAGGAAAGAAAAGTCTGAGGTCTGAGCCTTGGAACTCCAATTTTAGAGAAGGGAGGAAGAGAAGGAACTAGTCAAAAGGAGTAAGAAGCAGCATTTTCTGAGATTGGAAGAGAACCAAGAACGTTTGGAGAAGGAGTGGATTAACATAATCCCCAAATGTGGATGTGTCAAAGGCTGCTCAAAGGCTAAAATGAGAACTGAGTGTTTATCATTGGATTTAGCAAAATGGAGATTATCTGTGACTTTGATGGTAGTTTCAGGGGAGTGGTGGTGAGCAAAGCCTATTTGGAATAGTTTCAAGAAAGAACAGGGGAAGAGGAGGTGGAGAGGATGTGTATATGATCTTTTTTGAGGAGTTTTCCTGTGAAAAGAACACGAAAAATGGGATGGTAGTAAGCAGAGAGGGATGCATTTTTTACAGATAGGAAATTCACAGAGTGTTTGCATGCTGCTAGAAATGACCCAGTAAAGAACAATATCCTTGAGGAGAAGAGGAGGAATGGGATCCAGGGAAAGAGCGAAAGCATTGGCTTTACTTGGGAGCACTGGCAGTTTATCCATATAACAGAAGGGAAAGAGAATTTAGAACACGTGTAGGGGATTGGTAATACTCTTTTAGATTGATTCTATGTCCTCAGTGCAGTAAGAAGCAAAGTCATCTGCTAAAAATGAAGGAGTGAGAGATGTTGAAAGTTTGAGGAAGAGGAGAAGTTATGAGATAATTATCCATAAAAAATAAAGGAGTGAGTCAGTAAGGGGATGAAGTAGAATTGAAGGACAGTTCCCAAGAATATCTCCTAAGGTCAGGATCAGGAGTTTAGAGAAAGACCCTTCCCACGCTTAGAACATCATTTGCTCATGTGCTATTGGAGAGTAAGTGGAGAGTTGTATTTATTCAGTGTTGGAGTTTCTCCGGTAGAGATCAAGGGAGGAAGGGAGAGAGAGAGAATAAGTACCCATGTGAGAAGAGACCATAATGATAGAATGTGGGTTTTAAGCTGGACAGTGTGAGAGCTGAGGGCATGAAGGGGTGAGAAAAATTAACAAATAGGCAGGTCAGTGGATACAGGTTCCACTAGGCTTGAAGAATTATTAGAATCAGAATATTGGAGGACATGTGTTGAAAATTAGATAATACTAAAAGAGTGAGATGCTTGTCATCAAGATAACGGAAGGAGTTGGGTGCAGTGGCAGCCTATAATCTCAGCGGCTCAGGAGGCTGAGGCAGGAGGACCATGAGTTCAAAGCCAGCCTCAGCAAAAGCAAGGCACTAAGCAACTCAGTGAGATCCTGTCTCTAAATAAAATACAGAATAGGTCTGGGGATGTGGCTCAGTGGTCCAGTGTTCCTGAGTTCAATCCTTGGTACAAAAAAAAAAATAATGGAAGGAGTGATGTTATTGGTAAGAGCAGTGTCTCAGGTGTAACTGTGGAAGCAGGTGGCATAGGGAAGGGAGAAGATAGGATCACTAGGAACGCAGAAGTCAAGGGACTAAGAAGATCATACATGTGGATATTGAAGTCATAGTAATTAAGATGGAGCTAGCACTGGAGAGAGACAATGGACCAGGTGCTAAAATCTTCAAGGAAGGAGGAGTGGGAAGCTGAAGATCTGAGATGACTGCAAAAAGCGAGGGTGAAATGAATAAAGTCTACCAATACAGGAATAGTGTCAAGAATACACAAATACTCTTAAAATCAATAAGAAGCAGACAGGCAATCGAATAGAAAACAGAGAACAAACAGGCAAGCTGTAGATGAGGAACCCTGAATGGTCATCAGACATGGAGAGAGGATTAACCTTGCTGGTGGCCAGGAAAATGCAAAATAAAACAAGATGCTCTTTCATGTTTGTCCAACTGACAAAAGTGAAATGTCTGAGAGTATGAGCTCCAGGAACAATGGGCAGGAATAGGAGCTCTCATTCAAATATAAACTGGTACCACATGGCTTTGGAAAACAGATTTGTTCCTATACAGGAAAGATCAAGATACATGTATCTTTCAACAGAACCTCCTCCTTCCAGAGATAAACTCCAGGGAAAAGCAAACACATGTGTGATGCAAGGAGATGTGCACAGGATGTTTATGGCAGCATTATGTATAATAGATAAAAACTTAAATGACTTAATGTCCCTCAACAGGAAAATGGATAAGCAAATTGTGTATATTCAAGTAATATTCTGTTTTATGGCAGTGAAAGTGAATAGGCTAGAGATACATGTGTACTGATTCAATTCTAAGAATATAAGGTTGCTGGATGTGGTGACACAGCCCTGTAATGCCTGCGACCTTGGAAGCTGAGACAGGGGGATTGCAAATTCAAGATCAGTCTCAGCAATTTAGTGAGACTCTGTCTCAGAATAAGAAAGGGTAGGGTTGTAGCGTAGTGTTAGAGCACCCCTGGTTTCAATTCCAGGTACAATAAAACAAAGACAACAACAATAAAGGTTTCCAAAAATGACTAAATTGCATAATGATAAAATTAGTGTGACAATATCATTTTTGGTAAAGTTTAAAAGCAAGCAAAATTATATGAATTATTTATGAGTGCATGTGTAGTAAAAATGTAAAAGCATGGACAAAAACTGTGCACACAACTTCTGGACAGTGACCATCTCTGAGGAGGGAAGAGAGAGGGGAATCTGATCTGGAAGAGTGCAAAAGGGGGTTTCTATTCAATTTGTAATATTTTCTTTTTAAAGTAAAAGTTGATGCAAATAGGAGGGAATGTTAATAGTTGTTAAATGTGGGTGATAGCTGTATTATGCTGTTTTTTCCCCCATGAATTCAAATATTTCATAATAGATGAACTGAGTATGCAAGGATGAAACTTCCAGAGAAGGGTTAAACCCCACTGTCAATTTGCAAGCATTTCTGAGAGCCAAAGAGTTGCATAACAGTGTTCTTGATGTTAGAGCACTTGCAGAGAAAGAGCAGAATTTCCAAATGGATGTCGGAAAGAGGAAGATGTCATTGGTAGAATATCTAATGCATCATAATAAACATTTCTCAAGAGAAGTCAGAAATGGTACTGGTGATTTGATCGAATTTGGCAAAAATTTGAATTTGGTTGAATTTGCCAAAAACCTAAGGAAATATTTCCCCATGGCCATAGCTCTCTAAGACTTTAATTGCTGATAGCATTATCTTAGACTTTCTCTTGGCCAGAGTCATTTGGATACATATCTTTTCCTATTTGGCGTGATATTTATTTATTTAACAAATTGGTACTGATGGCTTCCTTGGCACCTGGGAATGCCTCCAGGATTTTCCTTTACCAAGAAACTGGGGCAGCTTTGACAGCAGGATATTGTCTTAGGAGGAGTTATTTGGGGTTATTAGAGGTGGTTTTAAGGACACAATGTTTTACTGAAATGATGTCATGACTCATCAAGAGGGCTTGGAGTGTGGTGGGAAAGGAATAAGGTGAGCTTAAGGGTGTGTCTGAACTGACAAGGAAGACTAGGGGAGAACTCTTATATAGTGGACTCCTGGAGCTAGCCACATAGCTGCACGATTTCAGAAAAGCTGAGTCCATTGGTCCCAGGTAGGTATGCTTGTTCCCTCTCTGGGTCCCCCTGGGGACAGTAGGCTGTAAAGCTGGAGCTGCCAGAGGCCACTAGGACACACACTTCTTTTCTCAGCACAGTTCTGTTCTTCAAGGCTCTCAGGAGACTCGGTGGTCAGTGAACTCCACTGGTCACCACCAGGAGTGTCAGACTGGAAAGAGAAGGTCTTAAGGCCTGAACTTGAGGCCTTATTTCTTTTGTATCCAGAGACAAAAGGTCAAATCCACATTCTCCTCTGCAGTCACAAGTCTCAGATACCACCATAGATACTTGTGAGCTGAGCTATCCCCAGTCTCTGAGACGCTGGGCCGTTGTAGAATATCCTTCAGTTTGGTGGGTTTATCTGATGTCTTCTTCATGATTGGCTTTGGGGAAAATACCACCGGGTATGACTTATGTGGTGCTGATCATATGGTTAATGGTTGGGAAGTGTCTGTCATGTTTCTCTACTGTAAAATCCCTCTTTTCCCCTCTCCTATATTCTTTGGAAATGAGACTGCAAGTCCAGCTCACCTTCAAGGTGATTAAGATCCCCTTCTTATAATATCTGCCTATAATATTTGGAATTTTTCTGTAAAAAAAATTTATTTATTGAGTTACTTAGTTATTTAAGCCATCATTTAGTTATTTATTTAATCTTTTTTGTTTTTTTGATAGTAGTGTGAACACACAAATATTTATTTTATACTTTGAGTTAAAATAAATCAACAAATTGAGTTAAAATTCAATATCTTATTTTCTTGCTCAAATTCGTCGAGTTTTGGCTACTGGGCTCTCCGAAAAATTGGCTCCTGTGTTCTTTTGCTATGCCTCCAGTCCTTTGGTTTTTAAATGTTTATTTATTTATTTAGCAATTGCTTGTTTTCTGGCACTAAAGATGCATTTTTCCTTTCCTAGCCCGAGGACCTGCTATTTCTCCAAGTAATAACTGGAAAAATCAACTTTTAAATGTAAAAATAATGTATGCTTTTTTCATAGAAAATTTGGGAAATTAATACAAGGGAAAATTTAAACTTTAATTTAAACTATAGATTAATTTTCAAGGGAAAAATTAAACTATAGTTTTGTGACCAAAAGAAAACCATTTTTAGAATCTGATATATTTTTCTATTCTCTTGTTTTTATTTCCAAATTCATGACTTCTGCTTTAATTTATATTTTCATTCTTTTCACTTGAGTTTGTCAGCATTTATCTTTTATTAACTTCTTAAATTGAAATATCATTTTATTGTTTTAAATTATTTCCTTTCTGGAAAAAAAATGTATCTAAGGCTGCATTTTCTACTCTGGGAATTGCCTTGGTCATGTCCCGTGGCATTTGTTCTTCTGCAAAGTCCCACCCCAGCTATTATTAGTTTATTAATAAATTCTTTAAAGGCTTCATCTCCAGACATGGTCACATTCTGAGGCATTGGTGATTAGGGCCTGGACATATGACTAGTGAGGGGACATGATTTAGACTCCAACACTCCTTGTGGTGAACAAGATTGAACTTGCTTTGAAAGCCAGAGATTTAGATAGAAAGTGCATGATTGTTTAAAGCTTTGATGTAGAACAGATGTGAACTTGTCTATTTTTAGAGACTTATGATTTTTTTTCCCTCTAGGAAAGGTCAGGTTAGCTTTCTGTATTAATTCCCTACTTAATGGTGCCTAAACCACTCAAAAAATGGAATAAGAATTAAATCAAGGTGAAAAATGGGCACTAAAGAAATGATTACCTCTTCTAGACATTAGGGCCCAGAAAGAAGTTTGTCTTCCTGAGCATGACTGTCATTTATTTACATAAAATTACTAATTTGTTAAAACCTCCAGGAGCCCTCTTTCATCCCTGGTCTCACTCTTTATTCCACCTTATCTAGGTCCCTTCTATGCTGGTCACCTCTCTATTTCCATTACAGGCCCAATCTCACTAGATTCTATGCCTGGATAGCTTCTCAGGCTGTAATAGTCCCAAGCACCATCCTACTTCCCCCAAAGGCCCTGTATCCCTCCTCCAGCCCTGGGCTGCTGCTCTCAGTCCTTATAAATGATATATCAGTTCTTTGGAACAGGCATTTGTGTCTCAAGAGCCAAGATTGTGCCTGCAAACTATTGCTGCTCAGAAGCAGCCCTCACCAGTAGCTGATGGGAGTTGGAAATATAACCCATGGAGGTGGCTAGTGGTTCTGGTTTGTATGGGGGTTCCCTGGAATGCAGATCTTTCAGTGCTAAACCTGTAATCCTGGGAAACTGGGATAATTGGCCACCCTAAGTCTCCAGTTCCCTTGGATTAACTCTGAAATTTGAAACACTTGCTCAGAATTTCTTAGTAGGATTGAGCTCCAGTTGCTCATAGAGATAACCTATTTGATTATATGTCCTTGGTCATTTAAATTCTTTTCCATCCCACTCTCTTCATTCTCCTAGCGTAGCTTCCCAGGGCCACCTCCAAAATAACTACTTGCCTTGCAGTAAGTAAGGCAGCCAGTCTTAGATAATCATTGTTCCTTGGTCTCCCATTAGGTGGTGAGGGGTTTGAGGTGAATATTGTGGGCTGAGAGACAGCTGTTTCAGGTATGAGGTGTCACTGATGTGGTTACAATGACACAAGGCCATGAGATCTTTGGGCAGGTAAGCATGGACAGTATGGACTGGAGGTCAGAAGGAAGCAGGGATTGATGATCTATGAAAGTTTTTTGAACGTAGGGAGTAACTGGACTTTATTTAGAGTTGATTGAGAGTCATGTGTGGTGAGGGGAAGCAACTTGCCTGTCAGACATGCTGATCAGTTTAGATCTCTGACAGGGAGGCTACTACTGTTTCTTTAGGTGAGGACCTGAAGAGAGAGAAGGTTGCAGCAGGCTAGGGAAAGGTCAGAAACCGAAGATGTTGAGAAAAAAACAAATTCAATGCTGAAGGGCTGGGGATATAGCCTAGTGGTAGAGCACATTCTTAGCATGTGCTAGGCCCTGGGTTCCATCTCCAGAACCACCAAAAAATTTTTTTTTTTTTTTAATATACAAGTTCAATGTTCAGATGTTGGATGTGTAGAAGAAGTACGGAGGTAACTCTGAGAAGAATATAAAGCCAGGAATGATGGTGCACAACTAAAATCTCAGCTATTCAGGAAGCTAAAGCAGGAGGATCTCAAGTTCAAGGCCAGGCTGGGCAGCTTAGTGAGACCCTGTCTCAAAATGAAAACTAAAAAGGACTGGGGCTATGGCTTAGGGATAGAGCACTTGCCCACCGTGCATGAGGTTCAGAATCACAAAAAGAACAAAACAAAAACAAAAGAATATGGTGATAGTCTTTATTTGGAGGTGTGGAGATGGGTTAGGCAAGTACCCCTTAGGCTTCTACCATGAGCCACTGCCATGCTTGGCCCTGTCTGCCTCAGTGGGGTAGTTCACTATAGGTCAGGGGAGCCTGCCTGGGGAGTTGGCCACAGAAAGGACATAGATGGCTCGATAGCTTCCTGGTAAGTTTGGAGGATGGTGGGACACCTATCAGAGACTTCAGTGGAGTCTCCCTGGAGGATGCAGGATGACACAGGTTCCTAATGTGTTCTGTAATGTAATGTCTTCCCAGGTTCTTCCCCTGGGAAGTTTTGTGTTCAGGAAGACGGCCAGATAACAACTTCCACCTATGTTCAGGGCGTTATCATGGACCTTGAGGGGTCTTCATTGCTCCTCCATCCCTCTATCAACAAGAATGTTCAGTGAAAGAGCAGATAAGAGCCGCTCCCTGGCTGATAAAGTGGCGGTGATCACCGGATCTACTAAAGGGTGGGTGAATGGAAGTTCCTGACTGCCTCATGACCAGATGTCACTATAGTCCTGCTCACATCAGGTATCCCTGCCTGCTCAGGGTCCCTACCTCATCACACAGCTCTGGTATTTAACTCCAAATCTCTCCCTAAAATATCTGGTTTCTGAGCTCCAAGAATGAGGTAGTCAGAAAACCAGTTATTCTGAGTCAATCAGAGCAGCATGTGAAGCTAGTCTTTACCATTTACTGGCTGGGTAATCCTCAGATATTTAACTTATTGCCACCAGGACAGTCCTCTTGCCCACATCCTTCGTAGCCCCGTGGCCATGGTCTTTTGGCATCCTCATCTAATAGAGAGAAACCCAATTCCTATTGTGTTTCAGACTCAGGGGTTTCACTGACAGCAGAATGCCCACTGGCACTGGGGAATAGGCAGGGCAATGTCTCAAGAGCAGTGCCAAGAGTTTTCATGGACAAATCTTCATTTCTTCCTGTGTTCCTTCAGAGCCATCCTCTGAAGGGACAGAAGCCATGGTTTCATGTGCTCTGGCTGCCAGAATGAGCAGCAGTCTATAATGAGTCCTTACCACAGGTGGAAGGAGGGAAGGTTTCTGGATTTTGTGCTTTAGGGGTATCATTTTCCTTTTGACCTTTTGTGGTCTATAATGGCACCAATTTAGACCACTGTATTTTAGAATTGTTTAGTAATTATAGACTTCCCAGATCCCTGTCGTGTTTTAAACCTTTGTGTGTGTTCCCAATACTTAGCCTCCATAATAGATGAATACTTTCAAAATTCCAAGCTACCTGGATGGTTTCTACAGGATAGTGGGAACATGCCTTGTGCCCTTCCTTTATCTTAACCAGACCAATCAAGAGTGCTCAGCCCTCCTTAATGTAAGGAAACAGGCAGAGAGCATGCTCTTCAGCAGAAAAGCTTTTAAGTTGCAGAGCAGAGCAAAGCTGTTAGGCTTAGAGAAAGCACGATTTATGCCAGAACTCTCTGGTTAGAACAAAGGGAAAAAATGCTGGGCAGTTAAAAAGACTCTCGACAATTTAGGCCTGATGCCCAGCAAGTTTACAACAGTTCTGATGGAACATTACTTTTTAAAGCTCCTTTAAGCGAATTTGATATGGAAATATCCTTATCTATAAAATATTATTATTGTACATAAAGTTGTGAGAATTAAATGAGGGAGCTTTTGTGAAGACCTGATATGTAGTAGGCATTAAATAATTCCTTTTCCCTGCTCAGAGGACTTGGAGGCAGCTCTTAGACAACATCAGGAACTCAATCTGCATCTAAGTATCAGGTTTGAGAAAGCAGTTTGGGGAGAGGTGAGGTCATCTTATTCTCTATCTGCAGGATTGGCTTTGCCATTGCCAGGCATCTGGCCCAGAATGGGGCCCATGTGGTCATCTGTAGCCGGAAGCAGTGGAATGTGGACCAGGCAGTGACCACTCTTCAGAAGGAGGGACTGAGCGTGACAGGCACTGTGTGCCATGTGGGGAAGGCTGAAGATCGAGATAGACTGGTGGCTAAGGTGAGAGGCTGAGGAATGGATCAGATGGGAATATGCAGATCCAGCTCTGGCAAGAAGAGTTGGGGTCTCTAGCACTGGATTCTAGGCCAATAACATATGCAGCCCAGGACATGGACATCAGAAGTTTGCTGACAGGAGGGAACCTTCATGATTAGACTAGAGCCATGCCAATCTGATGACCAAGAGCCGGGCATGACACAGCATCTTGCTAGAGACTCAGAACTCAGATCTTGCCAGAGCTGCTGAATTGGAATCTGCATTTTTACAAAATCTTCAAGTTAATCCAAGTTCATGTTGAAGTCTTAGCAGCACAGCTCTAGCACCTATGTGTACTGAGTTAGGAGTCTGCTAGACTACTCTAGGGTAGGAGATTTTCCTATGGGACTACCCTTAGAAGAGGCAAGTTGTGAATTTGATGGGGTGTAGAACGAGCATATGCTTTTGATATGTCAGATCGAAGGAAGAATCTTCCAGAGCAGAGGGAGCAAAGAGAAGGAAATAATTATAAATGGAAGAGATGAAAGTGGGGATACTTCGTAAGTGAAGATCTGGGCCAGTGGGGCCCAGGGACCAACCAGGTGTCCTATGGGGGCAGAAAGCTGATGTTTCCAAAGAGGAGAGGCACAATCAGTTCAGTCCACCTCTGATTGCCAGGATCTGATTCTGCTCCTGGACAGCTCCAGGATGGCCAGACAGAGGTTAGATATTTCCTCTGGGTCATTATTACCATTTATCCATTCCTTCATCCACAGCTTATGTAATTTCTTCCATAGGCCCTAGAGCACCATAATGGCATTGACTTCCTGGTGTGCGTGGCGGGAGTCAATCCCTTGGTGGGGAGCACTCTGGGAGCCAGTGAGCAAGTCTGGGACAAGGTGAGGACTGGGCATAGGGTCTTACCCATCCTGCATGGCACTCCATCCATCATGTTTGCCACATGCATGTGCGCACATGGCTCCCATATACCACCATCAATAATGGGATTAGGGCTCACTGGAGCCATCAGTAGGCTCAACAGGCACTGACCATATGAATCCTATACCAGACTCCAGAAACTTCCTCTATATGGACTCTCTTTGTGTTGGTCCCAGCTGTAAAGTCCTGAAATGCCCAGATTTCTGGATCTGTTCATGGCAGAGACCCTCTCCAGCTCAGGTGTCTGAAGCTACCACAATCTGGACTCTCAATTTGGCTGTCCCAAGAAAAAGTGTCCTGGCTACTTGCCCCAGTTATGGAGCTTCATTTCTGCTGTGACCATTGATCTCTAAGTGACGAGGGAGAATGGGCCCTGAGCAGATGGAATTGCTCTCTCCCCGCTGCCTTTCTCTATATTCTTTCTGATTTCAGATCCTGGGTGTGAATGTGAAGGCCCCGGCCCTGCTGCTGAGCCAGCTGCTGCCCCACATGGAGAACAGGGGGTGAGGGCATGAGAGGAATGGGTGGGGCATACATTGGTCTTTCCTACCCCCAAGAAAGCACTTGGGGTAGGGGCCCATCAAGTAGAGGATTATGGGAGAGATGGCAGGTGTGTCTTTTGGGAAACATTTTGTTTCCAGACCTACCTTCCTTCCCCGGGGATGTGACAGTTGTGTTGAAGAGAAGCATTGGCTGGGAGGAGTCAGAACTTACCTTTCTGTTCCTTAAAGGATATTTCACGAACCCTTAGATTATTACATCACAGAAAATGACAGGGATTTTGCCCCTTGAGTGGTGGTTGCAGGAACAAAGTTTCCAGAGAGAAGCAGCCTGGGGTCCCCTGTTCTGATTGCCTAACTCTTACCCTCCTCTCTGGGCCACCTCACCTGTTTCCCTTCTGGTCAGAGGCACTGTGGGTTTGCTCTTTCTCACCTTCTCCTGCAGAGCCTGGCTCTTCTGTGTCTTATGGCCACCAAGGGGCAAGCCAGGCTGGGACTCATGAGTGACACCCTCAGGGGTCTCTACTGATACATGAACATTACTGGGATTCTGATTTCTGGGAGTGCTGCCTCTCACTAGGCAGGGCCCCAAGGGACACCACTCTGGCTGTGCTTATTGGGTGGTACTGACCTTTAACTTAAAGGTCCAGCTTCTCCCCAGTGTTCCAAATTGTTCCCCAACACTTATGCTTTTCACCATGAATGCTGAGCTGGTTTTCTCTTAGCATGGGAGTATAATTCCCTGGCTCATATAATCTCTTAGTTGACCTCATCTATCATCTTATCCCATTTCCTTTTTTCCTCATAGGGGAGGCTCTGTGGTTCTGGTCTCATCTGTGGCAGCTTATATGCCAATATCAGTGAGTATGAGATCCTCAGGTGGAGCTGGGGGGGGGCATCTGAGTTGGTTTCTTGTGAGACCCTGCAGTGGGGTGAGGGGGAACTGGCTGTTGAGCTTGAGATGTGTACCAGTAGCAAAATGCCCTGAATGCTACAGACCAGGTATTCTACTTTCATTCTGTCATGTTATCTCTGAAACCCAGGGTGTTAGGCCATTTATTCAGGGTAAGCATAGTTAGTTTGTATTACTGCAAGAACTGGACCCTGGATCTCCTAATTCCAGTTTCCTAAGTGGATATTCTAAAGTACAGTGCTGCTCTCTCTGTGTCAAGTTTGGCCACACATGGCAGCAAGCTGCTGACATTTCCTTAAGTATGAGGAGCCCCTTCATCTCAGAATTTCACTCCTTGAAAATCCCTGTGAAGACATGAGGGGTGGGGGAGGAATTTTTGTTGGGGCCTAGAGTCAGGCATATTTTCTTAGTCTGTGACTCAGGGTCACAGTTTTGTTTGAATAAGACCCCTTCTTCCCATGCAGAACTACTAGTTTTCTTTCTTTTGCTTTATAGAAGCTGGGAGTCTATAACACCAGCAAGACGGCCCTGTTGGGCCTCTGTAAGTCTCTGGCCATGGAGCTGGCTCCAAAAGGCATCCGAGTGAACAGCATAGTACCAGGACTGATCAAGACTGACTTTATCCAAATGGTGACTATGACAAGTGGCTCCTGCTCCCAGTCCCCACAACCACAGTCTCAGTGGTTCTTTCCATGGCTGGGCTCCTTGGAATTGAGGCCCCCAGAGACCATATACTTACTAGAGCCTCAGTCCAGGCTCATCACTGAGAGGCTGTGCCCTCTGGCTTTAGAACCAGCAGCCCCCCCCTTTCCTGCAGAAGAATGGGGGTCTTAATCCTCTGTGGGGAGCAGACCAGAGCCCTACCTCACTGCCAGAACAGGATCTTCCCCCAGAGAGGCATTAGCGGGCCATGATGCTCTGTCCCATCCCCCCACCCCCAAATCCACCCCCACCCCTACCAATATCCCTCTGCCTAATGCTGACTCTGAAATCTTTCCCTAGGAGAAAACATTGCCGTACTCGCTATCTGATTTGAACAAAGTCTATGGATTGCAGCGGTAGGTGGGGTTTGGGGCTTTAGAGGTCAGTGTCTACCTCAAGGGAAATTCAACTTCAAGAAGAGACAGATCCTTGATCTTCTTTCAGTCTACTGGCTGTTCTCCTTTCTAGGGGGGCACAGCACAGTCCTGGGTTGGGGGCAGAAGGGTGGATGTGAGCTCACTATGACCATCCATGGAGCCTGGTGAGGTATTGGCTTATAGGGGTGAATGCTAGGCCACCTCTGGCCCAGCAAAACCTGAGGTCACAGTTCAATACTGCAAAGGCTGTGACTTAGCTCTTCTCTGTTTTATTCAGGCTTGGGGAGCCAGAGGACTGTGCGGGGATTGTATCCTTCCTGTGCTCTTCAGACGCCAGCTATATCACTGGGGAGAACATCACAGTGGCTGGCTACTCTCCTAAGCTGTGAAGAGAGTGTGACGCTAAGAAAGTGGGACTGTGGTCCTCAGTGGAAAATGAGGGGCTTGGCGGGGAATAGGGAGGTGGGGAGCCTTAGAGTCTGTAGCATCCAGGGTCAGATAGGGAAACTTGCTCAGGAAACTAGAAGGCAAGTGTTGAAACTTTTCATGTGAAAATAAACATTTTGAAACATCTAATCTGAGCTCACTCCTGTTTTGGCTAGTGATACATGAGCAGTCCCCTTGATTTAGAAGCCACTCCTTGATCAGTCTCTTCCCTTTTCTCTGTCCCTCATCCCTAAGAATTTTTACCCCTCCCTCCCTCCCTTCATTCCTTTCCCATGGAGTTGGAAATTGGGCTTGTATACTTCCCATCTTTCCCTCCAGATCCACTTGTCTATGCTTGTCTACTCAGTGCCTTAGGAGGACCCGTGGCCTGCACAGATGGTCCCTAGACCTCTGGCCTGCAGCTGGGTTTGGTCAATGGGAGGCACTAACAGGAGATTGGAGGGCAGAGGAGAGTGAGATGAGATAATTTGTTTCTCAGCCTCCCTTCTGATTGCCATATATGGGCTCTTCTGTCTGCAGCTTTCTGCAGGTAGATTTCCATAACCATGCCTACCTGTCCTTCAGGCCTGCTGTTGGCCCTGAGGTGCTGCTTTATACCTTATTGGATGTACTAAATTCTGTCCACTCATTCGTAATTGCTTTTTGTTTAAATTACATTTAAAACCTTTTTAACTGAAACATAATAATTGTACAAATATGTGGAGTACAATGTGATGTTTTGATATATACATACATTGTGTGAGGATCAAATCAGAGTAATTGGCATATCTATCATCTCTTTGTGGTTAATCATCCAAAATTCTCTCTTCTAGCTATTTTGGAATGTACAACACATTGGTAGTGACTATTATCACCCTACTGTACATTAGAACACCAGAATTTACTCTTTTTTTTTTTTCTTGAACCCAGGGCTTTGTGCATTCTAGACAAGTAGTCTACCACTGAGCTATGCCACTCCCACTCCCAAGTTCTTTTTAATTTTTATTTTGAGACAGGGTCTTGCTAAGTTACCCAGGCTGCCCCCCAACTTGTGATCCTCTTGACTCAGCCTCCTGAGTAGCTGAGGTTACAGGTGTATGCCACCATTCCTGGTACAGAATTTATTCTCTTTATTTAACTCTGATTTTGTACCCATTGACGGACCAATCCACATCTCCCCTTCACTTGTCTCCTAGCCTCTGGTAACCATTATTCTACTCTCTACTTCTTTGAGATTGAATTTTTTAGATTCCCCATGTGAGTGAAATCATATGGTAGTTTTCCCTCTGTGCCTGGCTTATTTCACTTAGTGTAATATCCTCTAGTTCCATTCATGGTGTTGCAAATGACAGGATTTTATCTTTTATGGCCAAGTAGCTCTCTCTCTCTCTCTTTCTCTCTCTCTCTCTCTCTCTCTCTCTCTCTCTCTCTATATATATATATATATATATATATATATATATCTCACATTTTATGTATCCATTCATCTACTGATGGACACTTGGGTTGATTCACATATCTTAGTTGTTGTGAGTAACTCCACAATAAGCATGGCAATACAGATATATCTCTTCAATACACTGATTTCTTTCATTTGTGTGTACATCAGTTGTGGAATTACTGGATCATGTGGTGGGTAGTTCTACTCTAATTTTTTCTTTTTTAAAATTTTATATTTTATTTTTTTATTTATATATGACAGCAGAATGCATTACAATTCTTATTATACATATAGAGCACAATTTTTCATATCTCTGGTTGTATGCAAAGTATATTCACACCAATTCTTGTCTTCATATATGTACTTTGGATAATAATGATCATCACATTCCACTATCATTTCTAACCCCATGCCCACTCCCCTTCCCCTCCAACCCCTCTGCCCTATCTAGAGTTCCTCTATTCCTCCCATGCTCCCTCTCCCTATCCCATCATAAATCAGCTTTCTTACATAAAAGAAAATATTTGGCATTTGGTTATTTGGGATTGGCTAACTTCACTTAGCATTATCTTCTCTAACTCCATCCATTTCTGCAAATGATTTTATTCTCTTTTATTACTGAGTAATATTTCATTGTGTATATATACTACATTTTTTTTTATCCATTCATCTATTGAAGGGCATGTAGGTTGATTCCACAGTTTAGCTATTGTGAATTGTGTTGCTATAAACATTGATGTGGCTGTGTCCCTGTAGTATGCTGTTTTTGAGTCCTTTGGGTATAGATCAAGGAGAGGGATAGCTGGGTCAAATGGTGGTCCATTCCCAATTTTCCAAGAAATCTCCATATTGCTTTCCATATATTGGCTGCACCAGTTTGCAGTCCCACCAGCAGTGTATGAGTGTACCTTTCTCCCCACGTCCTCACCAACACTTATTGTTGTTTGTTTTCATAATAGCTGCCATTCTGACTAGAGTGAGATGAAATCTTAGAGTGGTTTTGATTTGCATTTCTCCAATTGCTAGCGATGATGAACATTTTTTCATATATATTATCTTCTGAGAAGTGTCTAAAACAGACTGGTAGACCAATGGTGCAGAATAGAGGACACAGAGACCTACCCACATAATTACAGTTATCTTATATTTGACAAAGGCACCAAAAATATACATTGGAGAAAAATAGCCTCTTCAACAAAGAATGCTGGAAAAACTGGAAATCCATATGCAACAAAAGGAAATTAAACCCCTATCTCTCAAAACTCAACTCAAAATGGATCAAGGACTTAGGAATAAAACCAGAAACCCTGCATCTAATAGAAGAAAAAGTAGGCCCTAATCCCCACCATGTGGGATTAGGCCCCAACTTCCTTAATAAGACTCCTTTGGCTCAAGAATTAAAATCAAGAATTAATAAATGGGATGGACTCAAACTAAAAAGTTTCTTCTCAGCAAAAGAAATAGTCAGTGAGGTGAATAGAGAGCCTACATTTGGGAGCAAATTTTGGGAGCAAAAATTTGGGAGCAAATTTTTACACCTCACACATCAGATAGAGAATTAATCTTTAGGGTATATAAAGAACTCAAAAAACTAAACACACACACAAAAAAACCACAACCCAATCAATAAAAGTTCTATTCTAATTTTGTGGAGAACTGAGAGACTGTTTTCTATAATAGCTGTCCTTATATACATTCCCATCAATAATGTGTAAGTGTTCTCTTTTTCCACATCTTTGACAGCACTCATTACCTTTTGTCTTTTTAGTGCAGCCATTCTAACTAGAGTGATATATATATATATATATTAGAGAGAGAGAGAGAGAGAGGAGAGAGAGAATTTTAATATTTATTTTTCAGTTTTTGGCAGACACAACATCGTTGTTTGTATGTGGTGCTGAGGATCGAACCCGGGCCGCACGCATGCCAGGCGAGTGCGCTACCGCTTGAGCCACATCCCCAGCCCCTAGAGTGATATTTTGCTGAGGTTTTTATTTGCAATTTCTTGATGACTAGCAATGTTGAGCATATTTCATATACCTTTTGGCCATTTGTATGTCTTCTTTGTGAAATGTCTATGTAGGTTATTTGCTTATTTTATTTTATTTTTTACTTCATTTTTGGTACCAGGGATTGAATCCAAAGGCCACTGAGCCACATCCCCAGACCTTTCTAGTTTTTATTTGAGACAGGGTCTTGCTAAGTTGCTTAGGGCCTCACTAAGTTGCTGAGGCTGGCCTTGAACTTGCAATCCTGCCTTGGCTGGGATTACAGGTATGTACCACTGTGCTTAGCTCATTCGCTTATTTTAAAGCCAGATTTTCTTTTGCTATGAAGTTGTTTCAGTTCCTTATATGGTCTGCACATGTACATCTTCTTCTATTATCAGAATCCCCTGCTGGGAGTAGTGCATTTCTTAGAATTGATGAACTTACATTGACACATCATAATCGTCTAAAGTCCACACACAGTTTGCATTTGATTTTATTCTGTGAATTTGAACAAATGTATTTTTATGACAGGTATCCACCCTCACGGTATCATAAAGAATAATTTCATTGCCCTAAAAATCCTCTGCAATCCTCCTATTCATGTCTCCCTCTCCACTAACTCTTGGCAACCACTGGTTATTTTGCTGTCCTCATAGTTTTGCCTTTTTCTAGAGTGCCATATTTTTAGAATCATATAATATGTAGCTTTTTTGGACTGTTTCTTTCACCTAGGAATATATGTTTGCGATTTCTCCATGTCTTTTCTGTGACTTAAATAGCTCATGTATTTTTATCACTGAATAATATTCCATTGTGTGTACATACCACAATTTACTTATCCATTCACCTGTGCTAGTTTATCTTTGCTGCTTCCAAGTCTTGGAAACTATGAATAAAATTGCTATAAGCATTCGTTTGCAGTTTTTGTGTGGACACTTTTTAAAACTCATTTGGATACATACACAGGCATATGTCAATCTAAGTAGCTATCACAAAATACCATAGCCTGGGTGACTTAAACAACAGACATTTATTGTTCACAATTCTGGAGTCTGGGAAGTTCAACACCAGGGGGTCATCAACATGTCAGGTTCCTGGTGAGGGTCAGGAGGTTCCAGGAGGAAATTGACACTTCCTGCCTTGCAGATGGTTTCCTTCTTGCTCTGTTCACACATGGTAAAGAGAGAAATTGAGATCTTTTGGTCTCTCTACTTGGGTGGCTGATTAGGTCCCTGGTTCTGTAGTATGGCCATACCCTTGGTGTTCTCTGCACCATGGATAGGCTGGGGATTTTCCAAATCTGGGTCAAGATTACTACAGATTAGATAGTCCCCGATGAGGGACTTCCTCTTCTTGTAAGGACACTGATCTCATCCTGGGGTTTCCACATTTATGACCTCATCTTGATCTTATTATGTCCAAATTCCCACCTCTAATTTTCATCACATTTGGGGTTAGGGACTCAATATACAACTTTTGGAAGGGACACACAAACATTCAATTCATAGTAGAGCAGCGTGATAACTGGATCATATGGTAAAAGAATGTTTAGTTTTGTAAGAAACTGCCAAAATGTCTTCCAAAGTAAATCCCATTTTGCATGCACACCAGCAAGGACTGTGAATTCCTGTTGCTCCACATCCTTGACAGTAGTTAATGTTGTCAGTGTTTTGGATTATGGCCATTCTAATAGGCATTAGTGGCATCTTGTTATTGTTTTAATTTGCAATTTCCGAATGTCATATAATGTTGAGCATTTTTATACACTTATTTCTCATCTTTATTGTATACAATATTTTAAAAAGTATATATTCAGATGCTTTGCTCATTTTTTGATTGGATTGTTTTTTTCTTATTGTTGAGTTTTAAGGGTTCTCATAGACTTTGCATACAAGTCCTTTATCAGGTATATATTCTGTAAATATTTTCTCCCCACCCATGGTTTGTCTTTGTATTCTTCTAAGTACTTTCTTCCTTTTTCTTTTTCTTTCTTTTTTTTTTTTTTTTGGTACCAGGGATTGAACTTAGAGGCACTTGACCACTGAGTCACATCCCCAGCTCTATTGTGTATTTTATTTAGAGACAAGGTTTCACTGAGTTGCTTAACACATCACTGTTGCTGAGTCTGGCTTTGAACTTGCAATCCTCCTTGCCTCAGCGTCTCAGGGATTACAGACATGTGCCACTAGTGCCCGGATAGTACTTTCATATTTCAAGAAATGTTTTGCTTGTTGTAGAATTCAAGATTTAGCCATTCCCACCCCTACCCCACCCCTGCCTCAATACTTTAAGAGAGGTGATGTGATTTCCTTCTGGCTTGTGTAACTTGAGAAATCTGGATAGTTCTTATCTTTGTCAGTAATGTGTCTTCCTGGCTTTCACTTCCCATCTCTATGCCTGATTTTAAAATGTAATTTTCTGTGTCACTGATTTTTAACAATTTGATTTTGATGTGCCTTGAGTTTCCCGCATCTGTTTATTCTTCTTGAGGTTGATTTTCTCAGGTTGTACGAGTTTTATAGTTTCTTCGAATTTAAAAAATTTCTACCTTTACCAATTAAGTTATTTCTCCATTCTTTGCTTTCTTCCTCTCTCCTGGAACTCCAACTATAAGTATGGTACACCACTTCATATGATATCACAGGTTGCTGAAGTTCTGTAATTTCCCTTAGCTTTTTTCTCTCTGTATTTCATTTTGAGTTTATTGTTTTGCTGTCTCTTAAAATTCTCTGATCTTAGGCAGTGTCTAATTTCTGTTGATGTTTTCATTTAAGTGACTATATTTTTCACCTGTCAAAATTCTAGGCTGTGTCTAACTTCTAGGAAGGCTGAGAAATATATACTATCTATATGCTCAGGAAGAAAATAAAAATAAGTTTTAGTGAAGTTGCCAATCTCTGCCACAATAGTTCATCCTCGATTCCCTCACCTCTCTAGCCTTAAATACTCCAGTTGCTGCTTCCTTCTGATTTTATCTCCTACCACATTTCCCTCATTTACCAAGTTCCACTCACAAAGGCCTCTTTTTTTTTTTTTTAACAAGAAGTTTATTTAAACAACAAGACGCTTGACTTGAAGGGAAAACTATCTAGGAATCTTTTTTAAGAGTAATTTACCCCTACTTAAAGACAGATTGCCCTACATGTAACAGCTACGTACAAAAAAGTTATAAAATTGTCCTTGGTTTTACAATGATAAATGAAAAACATTAAAATTCTCCAATCGAACAAGGTATGCAAGGATTTTTATGTTGTTCAGGTTTTTTTTTGTTGTTGTTTTGTTTTTTGTTAAAACCGTGAGAGCAAAATAACTTACTGGAATATAAAGATAAGAGCTGAATGAGGATGCCACTAATGGAGAAAGGGGATATTTTCACAGAACCAGTATTTTTCCCCATCCCATCTCCATTTGATGTTAATCAAAACATATCATTGGCCATTTAGTTTAAAAACAAATGCAATATGCTTGTGCACATACACCAGTTACTTTATGTACAATAAAGGAATGGGGAAGGGGAAAATGAAAGAATAAAGAAAACTATACTGTAGTAGTCAGGATGTGGTGGAACCAAATTGCAGTTTTCTAATTGAGAATGTATTCTTGGTCTGTAAGAACAGAGTTCTGGAGTAAAGTAGCAGGTTCCCTTTTTAGTAGACACCTCCTGTCTGCTGCTGGAACACATCAATTGTATCTTCATCCTCCATTTCCAACTGTGCAGGTGTGTCTGTTTCATTAATTGGCTGCCCGTCAAATCGGAATCTGATCTGCCTCATCGACAAACCCTGTTGTTCACAATATGTTTTTATTAATTTACTAAGAGGGCCTCTTAATCTTAAACTCACCACAGAACCATCCTGCCCCGCCACCTTCAAGTTAATATGATCTTTGTTTTCAGTCTTGACTCCTGCCTTGGGCTTTTCGTCTGCCATGGCGAGCGCCGGAGTCTTCTCAGCTGCCGCTTCACAAAAGAGGTACCAGGTCCTCACCGACAAGCACACAAGCAGCTCACAAGGCCCTCTTACAGAATCTTTTCACATGCGTTTTCTCTTTGCCTGGAACACACTCCATAGCATATAACCCGCCACCTCTTATCTAGTTCTCAGAATTATAGCTCTTTGGAAACATCTCTCTTGACCACCTTATGTAAATGTTCCTCCCATCTCAGTAACTTTCAAAGTCCTTTTTATTTTATTTTGAGACAGGGTCTCTCTAAGGTGCCCAGACTGGCTTTGAACTTGTGATCTTCTTGTCTCAGCCACTCAAGTAGCTAGGATTACAGGCATGTGACACTATACCTGATGTGTTCATTTTAATTTTAAATCAAATCCCCTCAAATGTAGGTTCCACAGGACCATGCACCTCATCAGTCTTATTCATGGATATTCACACAAAA